GGCGCCGGCGAGCGGCGGGCAGCCGCCCGCTCCCCGGCTCGGGGCGGTTCTCAGCGGGCGCCCCCTCTCTCGCCCCCAGCCGCCCATCCAGGTGTACGGGCTGGAAGGGCGCTACGCCACCGCGCTGTACTCCGCCGCCACCAAGCAGAAGAAGCTGGACCAGGTAGAGAAGGAGCTGGGCCGAGTGTGGGTAAGCTATTCTACAGCCTGCCTTCACCTGAGCTGGCACACGGGGGTTTGGGAGCAGCAGGCCTCGTCTGCTGCTTCTCGTTGGGAGGGAGGTGGACTCGGCTCTTGCAAACCGTGAGACTCGCGCTTAGAGCTGGCCTGGCGTGCGCGCTGTCTGCACTGTGCTACCAGGGTTAAGCTGCTTCGAAGTGATACGGGAGGAGCATCAGCTCTGAAAGAAACATACTGTAGATGAGCTACACCTGGAGCTGCCATTTCACTTCGATCAGCTTCAGACCTCTTCATTCTTACTCAAGGAATGACTGCTCCAAGTAGTCCAGTTAGGCCTTGTAATGCCTGGAAAACTCCTGGCCTGTATCGCGTTGTTTGTGTATCCTCTTAGACTCTCTTGAAGGACCCTAAGCTATCCAGTGTTGTTATGAACCCTCACATCAAGAGCGCAGTTAAACAAAAAGCTGTGAATGATGCCTTAGCAAAAGAGAAGATGTCCCCTATTACTGTCAACCTCATGAGTGAGTAATCATCTGATTTCAGAAAAACATCTAAGGCTACCTGTTATTGCTGTTAGCTAACCAAGTCCGCTTCTACTGGGTGCTTTAAAGCCTTTCAATGCATCTGCCTTTTCTAGATTTGCTTGCTGAAAACGGTCGCTTGCGTTACACACCAGACATCGTTACTGCGTTTGGGAAGATCATGAGTGCATACCGTGGAGAAGTGCTGTGCACAGTCACCACTGCACAGGTGAGTTAGGAACCTCTAGATTGAGCTTAACAGGTACTGGTATAAAAGGCAAACTTCTTTAGCTTAATTTTGCTCTCTGTAGTTTTAAGTACTTGCCATATGGGTCGTGAGGAAATAGCTCACCTCTACTGAGACAAAAGGCTTTCTGCAAATAGTTTTTTGATATCCAGCAATTATTGGTCAGGAATTAAACCTATTCATCCCATTTTAGCTTAACAGGTAACATTTTTCCTTCCTGTGTGTGAACCCAGTGTCTGGTAAAAGTCAGCCTGGTCTGCAGATACAGCTGCCCCAGTTCTTATTTCTGTCATCAGGATCATATGGATCAGGTCAGAACTAACAGATGAGCTATTAGCTAGAGCAAGGCAGATACGTGACAGGACCGAGAATGCCTGTGGTGCTTGGTGCTGTGCTTCATGTGGAGCAGCTGCCTAATTCACCATCTGCAGTAATCAGGGCAAGTAGCTAACTCAACTGTAGGAAGACTTTTTCAAAAGTAGCAGACAGGCAAGTCTGGTTGGTGCTCAGAAAGGTGAGAGGGAAGATGGTGTCTCCATGAGCTGTAAACATCCAGCTGGAGGCACGGTGGTTCTGGCACTTGAGTAGCTTTTTCAATAATGAATCCATGCCCAAGTCTGCTAGAGTGGGAAGCTGGTTAGCTAGACATGTAATGTAAATTTGTAGCCATTGGGTAGGGCTACAGTGAACTGCCTACCTGGCCTAAATAGACTGATCCACTTCAGATTAACAGGCTCCCTGTAGGCCATGAGCACAGATTGTCAGTCTAGTTGGTAGCCTTCAGGGACACGTGGACTCACAAGTCTGTGCAAACCTTTCCACAAGTTTTCCTGAATATTTCACATGCAAAGTTACTTTCCTGATGCCTTTTTGTTGTTGTCGTTGTTGTTAGTTTCTTTTGGCTCTCAAACTGTTAGCTATGAAGTAGAAATTATTTAAGTTGCCAGTAATGCAAAGCCACTGCTCTTCAGTGAAGTCCCTTTTGTTTCTATCTCAGTGGTATCCAAGTGACTTGTAGGGGTAGCAAGGACAAATTCACAGTGTCTCTCCCACAGGGATGCAGAGTTCTTCTGTGGTGATGGAGAGAGGTGTTCTTAGCCAGGAGCATTCTGCAAGCCTGCAGCAGGGCTGGGAGCTCACTGCCAGTGTCCTCAGTCACTGCCCAGTGCTTTACAGGAAGCTGTGTTTCTTCTCAAGCTGGTGATCTTAATTGTTAGAAGCAGTAAAATTAATCTTTTCTTGGACAGCCATAATGCTGTTGTGAGGCAGATTTCAAGGTTTTCCATCAGGTGCTTACTTTGGCAAGTATGGATTCCCAATGCTTGCTATCTGAAGATGTCAGCCTTGAACTTTTGCTGGGAATATGTGCACAAATAACACAATGTTTCATGAAATTAGGAGGGTACGAAGTGTCTGTTGTTTCTGTGCTGTCCTTTGGTTACTCCTGTTCAAGAAGGCTGCTGAATCTGCCTTCCTGCTCAAAGTGTCTGTCTTTGGAAGAATCTGAATAGAAAATTCGGGTTCTTGATACATCATTTGAATATTTTCAAGTCCTTCATTTTCCTTGTCTTTTGTTCATATTTTTCAGCCCTTGGATGATGCCAACCTTACTGAGCTAAAAAGTGCTCTCGGTGGATTCTTGGCTAAGGGAGAGGTCTTGAAGCTGGAGACCAAGGTATGGATGTTTGATTTGTAAATAAATTTCATCAAGTCCATGTTAAGCTGGACTTCTGCCTCTCTTTTAAAAAAAAAAAAAAAAAAAAAAAAACAAAAAAAAACATTTTACTGAACCCAGCTGCTATATTACATAGTTCTGTGCTTTCTTGTAGACCTGATGATGCTTTAACTACTAAAATCTTAACTTTGGAATACAGTGACTGCGAAGTTATCTTTAAAAAGGCTCTTTTAAAAGCTTTTTTCTTTTTTTACTAGTGTAAAAGATTGTATACTAAGCTAACAAATGTTTGCGAATAGAATTTCTGTTCAATGTTTCTTCTTTAGACTGATCCGTCAATCCTTGGTGGCATGATTGTCAATATTGGGGAGAAGTACGTGGACATGTCAACAAGGTCAAAGATCCAGAAACTCACCAAAATCATGAGAGAGACTGTCTAGCAAGCTGTCCTAGTCATTCACAGTGAAACCTGTCAGATGGAAACAATAAAATTATTTCTTCTTGAATAGAGGGTGTAAAGTATTTTGATTTGGGAAACTCAGCACTGAGGGAGAAAGATGATGAAGCTGCAGCAAGTTTCACTTAGTTCTCACTGAACGTTTCATGACACAGCTTGAAAATCAAGCTCACCCTGAATGCAGGTGAACGTTGCCCTGAAGGAAATGGAGAATAATGCTCTAGGAACTGATAAATGGGGTCACTGCTGCTGAGGTACTGTCAGCCTCCAGAGAAAACTTTCGCTCAAGATACTGTTAGGGCAGTGGAGCAACAGTCCTGCTGCTGCAGGTGCTCTTTCTGTGTGTGGAAGGTGTGAACGCTGGAACTGTGACTGGTAGATGCTTTCAGAAATACCAACAGTGGCTGTTAAAACAGTTGTGCCATCAGTGGATTCTCAGCAGCAAACACTATATCAGGCCCAGTTTACTTCCATGTCTGTATCGTTGGAGAGAGTTTTGTATATGCCTTAAACTAAAATTACCCTCTGAAAGCTTACTAGTGAGGGTCTAAGGTGTTTGTAACTTAAAACGATGTACAAAAATGTTTGCAACAGGATAGGGCTTCACGACTAGCGAGCACTAAGGCAGTGTTGTCATGGCCAGCTGTATGTGCTTCCTGGCTAACATTTGTACATGGATTTGTGAGTGTTTCTGTCTTGAAGTGAAGTGCTGTGCCTCTGTTTTCTGTTTAGATAATCTTACACAGGCTTGTGAAGGGGTGTAAGCTGCCTGGTTCTCCCTGTTGGTCCTTGGTCAAGATCTGACATTTAACTTAATTTTAGATGGATACCATTCTTCAAGGGGTGGGGTGTTGAACTGATAGCACTAGCTCATTTCAGTTGCATTATTGAAACCTGTTAACCAGCCCCATTGGGGTTTTTTTTTGGGGGGGGGGACGGACGACATTTTTAATAAGAAGAAGTAGTCCCTGCAGGTGAGAGACCATTTAGCCCTGTGCTTTCTCTGGTATTTCAGGCTGGAAGTATGTTCCCCACCAGGCCCAGCCCAGGGCTGCTGGCTGTGCATGCTGCCTGGAGGGGACGTAGGAGAAGTAAATGCTGTGCTCAGCCTCTCACCAGCCCTCCTGGAGGCGGCGGGAGCAGCACCGTGTTCTTCTGCTGGGGAAGGGAAGGGTGTGCTGAGGCTTGAAGTGTCAGTGGCACGGGTGGGTGGCACTTGGGACCCCCAGAGGCAGGGCAGAGGGGCTGCTGGAGGCCTGCTGCCCTGTGAGGACAGGCTGCACCCCACTGTCCACTCCTGGTGCCGCTCTGTAGCAGCAGTGAGGTGCATTGAGCTGTACCTGAGGCAATGCAGCTCTCCAGAGCTCAGTGCTGTGCAGTGAGATGCTGGCCCCTGCCCAGCTTGGATTGACATGGCCTGGACAAAGCAGCCCCAAACAGCTGGCAAGCTTCCTGACATGTCCCATGTCACCTACTGCTACAACAGCTGTGATTTACAAACCGGCACTTTGGCTACAGCGCTGTCCTGTTGTGCCAACCCAGCTCCAAAACAGCTGTGAAAAAATACATCCTCAAGGTGCAGGCATTAGCGGGTGCTGAGCTTGACAAAGGGACCCACTGCTTAATAGGATACTGAGGATATTGGCCTTAGGGCAGCTGGCAAAATTCAGTCATTATTAACAAAAATGAGGGGAGAGATCAGTGTGGGACTTCCTATATTCTCAGGCAGCAGAGCCACAGGCAGTCGCTGACAAGCTGCGTAAAGGTTGCTGCTGGCGTGCCTGGCCACAGCGCAGGGCCTGTGTGAAGTTGTAACGTGCACAGAGGAATGGCACCTGGCCTATTAAGCAAGTGCCTTTGGTTGGGGGTTTTTTTGGGGGGGGAGGGTTAATTTTTTTTTTTATAATTTATTTTTGCTGTCTTCTTACTACAGATTTGCTCAACTCTCAATTTTCAAATCTAAAAAAATGCAAACAATGCGTTACAGAGATGAAAAGTGGCACGTGTCAGGCATTAAATGCTGGTAAGTTATCTCCCTGCTGCTGGGTCCATCACTTTGCTTATACCTCTGTAGCCCTTTTGTCAAAAGTACTCATCTGAAGATTTACTTACTATGTCAGACACCATATCACTCTTCTTCAGCACTTCTCAAGAATGTATCAGTATGCAGTTAAACTTTAAAAAAAAAAGGATTTATTCTCGCATAATTTCACTTGCACAACTACAGTCTCATCTGTCTCAAACTAACTGCACAGCCTAGAACCGTATCAGCAGTTATCCACCTCAGTGACTGCAGTCTGGGAAGCAGCACAGTTCCTCAAACAGGTGAACTTATTTTGACTTTTGCTTCATTGGACCTGGTCTGTAAATATAATTATTTAACCAAGCGTGGCTGAGGAAACAACACATTCACAGCAATCAAACTATAGTTGAAATTGTCTTATGAGGAACAGTGGTGTCTGATTCATAATTATTTGTTATACCTATTACAAATGCTTTAAAAAACCAAAAGAAGCCAACTTCACAGTGTGAACATTTTACCGTAGAATAGTTACATGTGATATAAATGAACAATACAAATTAATTCCGTTTTCTCTGAAAAAAAAAAAAGTAACTTTTTCTCCTATTTGGCCAGATCTTATTTTACAATGCCTTTGTAATTTTTATGTGAATACTACAGACAGTACAATACTTTTTTTAAGAAAAAAAAAAAAAGGAAACCAGTTGATACCATTTTTTTTGGCAGCAAAAAGTGCACTAAAAAGTAACACCACCACCAGTGGGGAGGGGGATTCCCGCATTCTAAGTATTACCATTGAGAAAAATACTAGGGTTATCTTTTTTTTTCAACAATTACCAACACAAAATAGAAAGTAGCCATTACACAGTCTGCAAAGGCTGCTGGAATCTAAATTCCTTTTCAGCACAATGAGGACTGGACTAGGGTAATTCTGCACAAGTTGTTAACAAAGCCAAAGCCTTCCAGGAAAACTTGCCCCACGGGGGGTGGTTTGCCTTCGCCTTCTCCCCGTGGGGTAGGGGCTGTCTCGCCACGGGGGGAGCATGTACCTGCGGCGGCGGCCTCGCCTGGGTGCAATGGATGCGTGCGGTGCAGGAGGGTGAGCGCAGGTGCCTCTGCACGGGCGCGACCTTTTGGGCGGTGCTGCCCGGTCACCCCAAAACCAGCCCATCCCAGGGTGAGCGTGGTGGTGCAAACCTAGGAGACCCTGAAAGACACGGTGAGACGGGGCAAGAGGGAGTGAGAGCGGTGGCAGCGAGTTGGCCAAGCACCCGGACCAGCGCTGGGGTCCTGCACCCAACCTTCCCGCTTCCTCCTGGCAGGAACAGGTCACGCCATGAGGGTCTTCCCACGGAGCAGCCACCGCAGCTGGGAGGGATTTCCCTTCCAATCCATCACCTGATGGACACCCACCCATGTTTTTTGGAGGGGCAGCTATCCTCCTGCTCACCAAGATCTTACTTTTTAGGTCTGCCCCTATTTCTTCCCTTTTTCCCCTACTCCCCTGCATGCCAGCCCTCCCCTTTCCCCTGCGCTCACCGCGGCGGGCAGGAGCTGCTGCCTGGGGGTCTGACGGGGTCTCAGAGGAAGCACCAGCTCCCTTCGTTCGCACAACACTTTAAGATCCCAGAACCGACCGCTAAATCCAGGGTTAGTGACAATTTTGCAGCTTTACAAGCAGCACAAGCAATTCACCTACGGTCACAGCAGAGCCTTTGACAACTCTATCAAGCAACTAGGCTAGTGTAACATGTTTTTACTGCAGTTCTTTATTCTTTTAAATTAGATCCTAAATATATCCTCCTATGTACAGAAAAATAATTTCCCAAGGACAGTCCTTATTTTAAAATATTTAAATGAACAGACAAAACTGGGTGCCTATAAACACTTTTCTGTTAGATTTACTCAGTATTTGACAATGACAACATAGCTGTATTTTTATATTATATATACAAATAATCACATATATATATATAAGCACATATTTAACTATAGATACATCGATATGCATGTAGAACAAGAGTGTTGAGGCTAAACAAACACCAAGATACATGTGGAATGTACGTACAGAGCAAACCCCTCAAAGCTAAGGTGATTTAACCTGATTCCCAGCTTTTCTGTGTTTCAAGGGTTTTGACTGCTGGATTTGAATAAACTGAAATACCACAGTGGTAAGGAGAGTCATATGAAACTAGACACCACTGTTGCAGCAAAAGTCTGGACTTGTTTTGAAAGTTTGTTCACATCTTAGTTTTGAAAATGTATTTAATAATATTACAAAAACTGCATTATCCACAATGTTTCCCCCCCAACCCTACTCACATGTAACAAAAAGTGATTCATTTATTTTTAAAGGGTAAAAAAATTGTAAAATGAACATTTAAAAAGTTCCCTCATAAAAACTCATGTTGATAAAATACGTAATAATCAAGTGCATCTAGAAAAAAGCTTTGTAATTTATCAGTTATTTGGCTTAGTGTCAGCTCAGTGACTTGCTTTGTCTTTCAAGGTGCCCAAGGCAGCTCACTAGCTCTGTGCAACCTCGCAGGGCTTTACAGACTGGCTTTCTACCAGCACTGTACTTGGCAAGGTACTTGGTATTTCCAAGGCCAAGGTCTGCCTAGTGTTTTTTTATTTTACAGTGCTTCCAAATGTGCTGCAACCTGTAAGTATAATAACTATGATTTGCCCGGTAAATACAATTCTGGTGAGTTTAGTGGCTAAAACCACTTTTGGGAAGATAAGGAAGAAAACAGATCCAGCTGCAAAGACTATAAACTACTTCTGTATTTTATCTTAATCTTGACTTCTTGTTTGATCCTCTACTGCAGTCCTCCAATCCTTGCAGACCTTGAACCAACTTCATAATGTAGGCTCTACATTATCGAAGCCTTTTGAATTCCTCCATGGATCTCCAGCAAAGCATGTAGGCACCCAGCTGGCTTCACGTATGCCTTTGCGCTGAATTGGGGCACAAATTAAAGTTAAGCATCTGCCGAAGTGCTGTGTTGAGCCAGGGGCTGTG